GCTATTCCTCTGGCCTCTGCAAGCGCAGACTCCACCTGACTCTGGCTTCCCAGAAAGGCCCCAGGGAGGTGGAGTAGCAGCCCCGACTGCCAGCTGCTCTCTTAATTAAGGAATGCGGGGAGTGGCCCCTTTGAACTTACTAGCTAATTTGCTCCAGCGCACTCCCCCCTGTGGCTGGGTAATTAATGTAGTGTGAACTGGTGATTAGCAGTAGTGGGAGAACCAGCCTGCCGCAGACTTAACCCTTCCCTGCATCTGGGCAGCAGCATCGCCTCTCTCCAGCTGTGGCACTGCTGGCTCAGGTTTTCCCTTTGGATGGGGTATTAAGAGACCTCACTCATCCTCCTCCCCCTCTGCTTCTGCAAAACACCTGTTAAGGAAAGGGGCTCTGGGTGAGGGGAGAAGGGAGGGGACAGGTCAGGGGACCACAATGGACAAACAATTCTGCTACGAGGGACAAGGATTGCCTGCTGTCTCCTTGGAAGGAATTCAGGATCTCGCTCCAAGCTTGCCCCACTCTTGCATCCCTCCCAGTCTCTCCAGAATAATTCCATCCAGTTTGACAGATGCTTGGAAGGCATCCCCTCTTGGAAAGCCTGTCCTTGGCAACAGACAGGCTGCAGAAATAAAGTAACTCAGTCCTGCTTTCATGGAGCTCCCAGTCTGGAAGCAGAGATTCAGAGCAGGGTGCTGCCCAGCCTCAAACACACCTTTATCCCATCTGGACGGTTTTCACCTCTCCCATCTCTAGCTATTTTGTAGCAATGACAATGTTTGAGTGCTCACTGTGTATATGTTAGAAGCATTAGAAACCCTTACAGGTGTTCACTGGCAGCACTAAGAAGTACATGCTATGATCAGCCTCCATTCAGCAGATGAGCACCTGGAAGCCAAGAGGTTACTTTGTGCATGATTTTAGAGCTAAGATTTGATCCCAAGTCTAAACCTAGAGCTTGAGCTATTACTCCCACCCTCCCTCATCCATTTGTACCCTTAAGACACCTCGGACACCAGCCCTTCCACTAAGCCTTCCCAAGCCTCCCACCCAGGCGGGGGCAGGCCTGTGCCCTCTGGCTCCCAGAGCATCCCGTGCACACTTCTAGCATTATTCTTGCCACATTGATTGTAATTATTGGGTTACATATTCCATCTCCTCCTCTAAACTCTGAACTCCTTAAGGGCAGGGACTAAGCTTTTCATCTCTGTGTCCCCAGCACCTGGCACCTAAGTAGATGCTCAATAAATGCCAGATGAATGAATGATAGAATTGACAATAGAGTCATAAATGATTCCCCTCCTTTGGCCTCTATCCTACATCCAGGCAGCTTCCAATTCTTCCAGGACTCTCCCTCTGCCTCAAACCCAGCTTTCTTTCCACTGCAGACATTTCCTTCCTGCTTCAGGCCCTTCTCCTTTACCAGGACCATCATGACAGGCTGTTCTGCAGGCTTCCCTGTCTCTTCTTTCTCTCCCAGCTTGCCCTGTACTCAGTCCTCTCACTGGGAAGTTACCCCAGCCCAAAACAGACAGTCCCCTGCCTCTAATCAGTGCTTCTCATAGCATCCCCTCAGTCCACTGGCCACACTGTCACCTAGAGAAGAATGCTGGTTAGAACCATAGATTCCTGGGCCCATCCCTGTCCACTGAGCCAGGATCCCTGAGAACCCAAGTATTGAACAAAAGTGAGACCCACTGACCTCCAGAATAACTTAGCCCACTATTCACGGCCTCTTTAATCTAATCCCTCCCTTTCCATCCGTCCCACTACTGCTAATCACTAGTTCACACCATCCTAAAGTATTCCTCCTGCTGTCCCTTGGTGTCCTTGGAGCCTACTTGGTACAATCCCACGGCCACGTCTTTGCCCGCTCTACTCTCCATGCTCATGGCCGGCGCCCAACCTGTGGCCTTCCCCTTTTCCTCTTTCTATCTAAATAATGCCCGTTTTCAAGGTGTCGTTCCAATTCTGCCCGTTCAGGAAGCATACCCTGTGCCGATGAGTGGAGACCCCTTCCCGCTCCCTTCTGCAGCGCTGGCTTTGTGGATGGCCATTGACACAGAGCAGTGCCTCTCTGCCAGCAGGCCTTGGCCTTTCCTGGCGTTTCTGTTGCTACATTTTGATTGTGAGAATCTGAAGGGCAGGAATTCTGTCCCACACACTGTATGCCTCGTTTCTGGCTGACTTCAAAGTATGGTCACAGGCAATGTGAGTGACCGGTCACAGACTAGACAGGACCAGACTACCCAATGAGCCTCATTCGGGACAATCAGGACCCTTTTCCAGTGGTAGCAACTTGGAGAGCCTTCCTTGAGTTGGGTGTAGTGCTGCACACCTGTAATGCCAGCAACTCGAGAAGCCAAGGCATGAGGATCACAAGTTCCAGGCTGACCTGGGCAAGTTAGTGAGACCTTGTCTCAAAACAAACAAACAAACAAAAAAGACTGGAAATGTAGCTCCACGGTGAGGCACCACTGGATTCAATCCCCAGTAGCAAAAAAAATAAATAAAAATAAAAATTCCCACCTCGACCAGGGTTAACAGAATGCCCTTTGTGAGAATTGTAGGACTTATATAAAACCAAATGAGGACCTTGTCTAGAATTCATTTGCCCATTGGTCAGATTATAGCCTCCCCTTTCCAGTACTAGAGATAGAACCCAGGGTGCTCTACCACTGCGCTGCATCTCCAGTTGTTCTTTTTTTTTTTTTATTTCAAGACAGGATGTCACTAAGCTGCCCAGACTTGCCTTGTGCTTGTGATCCTCCTGCCTCAGTCTCCCAAGTATCCTGGAATTACAGGCACGCACCGCTGCATCCAGCTTCGTTAGACCTTAAACATCTATAATGTGCAAGGCCTGAGGGGAGTAAAGAAGTGAATCCAAGATCCTGCTGGCCAAAGAGCTCATGAAAAGCGGAAAACTGATACAACCCACATGCTAAGAGAAGAGTGGGGTACACATAAGGGCAACGGAGAAGGGGTTCTCCCGGGCCTTGGAGCGTGGCTGGCCTTAGAATCATGCCCAGCCTGCAAGGGTAGGTGGAACAGCATTCTTGGTAGAGGAAAAAATAAGACACATGGAAGTGTGAAAGGAGCGGTTCTGAAAAGAGGTAGTTCTAGCTGGGGTGGCCAGAGAGCAGAGGGGATGTGGGCAGCCAGACTGGAGAAGACAAACAGCCTCTTCATCTAAGCCAACAATTCAGTCTTTATCCTGAGGGTGGCAGAAGTCTAGGAAAGAGAAGAGAAGCAACTTGGTAGAAATTGCCGTTTTGAGGGCTCTCCGTGGGTAGGTTTGGATGCAGGAAATTCTGGTAACAGCAAGAAACACATGAGCTTGTGCAGGGGTGTTTGCCATCACGCATTAGCCAACCATGTGCACAGGAAAGAGCCTGGTTTACAAGAATCGGCTCCTGAAGACCCAGCGAGGCCGGCAGCCAACTTCCACTTTACTTGGGATGTTTTCACTTTCAGGGCATCTTGTTCTGAGTCAAGATTCCTCCTTCTGAATGTGGGACTTTCCAGAAGGACCGCAGCTCCTTCCATGCATCCACTTGGCCTGGGATGTGCTGGATTTTGGTTGTCGAAGGAGTTCGCCTGCTTCTCCGGAGAAGGATGGCCACGTGCTTCCTATGGAATCTGCTTCTCTGGGAAGGTGAGTGGGACAGGTGGATGGCTTGTCCTCAGAGAGCTGAAGGCTCCTCCCCAGCTGTGCTGGCCAGTCCAGGCCCCAAGCCAAATGTGAACCTGGGAACCGGGGAGAGCTAGAGAAGAGCAAGCACAGCAAGTTCTTGAGCGACATCAAATGCTAGGCAGAGACAAAGAGACCTGGGTGGGAAGAGGTGGCAGCACTAGGACCATCAGAATCCTGGAGATATGAGCTATTTGTGGCCCAGGACAGTTAGAACTGAGCCAGTTGCACTTCTGGTTTGGAGAGAAAGCTGAATGTGGGAACGTTGAGGCTCTGGCAATGTTAACACATGGGAATTCTATATAATCATCTGGAGAGAGATGAAGGCCTGGCAGAATAGGGATCCTTACAAACTGAGAACTGTATTTCCAGCTCCATGTGGGAAAACTGGGGTCCCTGAAGGCCTGGGCAAGGGGAGGTGGATACTGAGTAAGAGGAAAGGCAAGAGTCAGTTAAATAGGGTCCATGTGAACTTGAGGGTGGCCAGCAGTGGTGGGGTATTGGGATGGCTGAGATATGGGTCTCACCGGGAGCAATCCCTCCATCAGTCTGATGCCCAAGTTCCCCTCCTTGGTCAACAGGTAGCCAACATGACATTGGTCAGATCCTGCAGGGCCAGGGATGGGAGTCATGGGGTGTGGAAGAGATCAAGTCTCACTGTTAACATCAGAGACTCACAGGGACTTTGAGACTGTTTTGTCCAGTATCCCCACCTAAAATTCCTGGCCACAAGAGCTCCAAAGGCCCTGCAGATTCCTTCAACACTTCTAAGTATATGGGGGAATTCATATCTTAACCCTCAGAAGAGCCTAACTCTTCAAGGATTCACAAAATTTTCAAGTCAAATGAACATGGGAGGACATTGTCCTAGACTTTGGACATGTGGATATTCTAAAAATAATTTTTGTTTATTTTTGCACATGCTCAGCAGATGCTGTACCACTGAGCTACATCCCCAGACCTTAAATGAATTTTTAAAGGGCTCTCCGTGACAAAAGAGATCAACCCCAAATGATCTGGTACAGCCCCCTTGTTTTACAGGCAAGACCACTAACACTTAGGAAAGATGATGTTCTCAGGTCACACAGCTGATTTATGGCAGAGCCAGGACTGGATAGAACCTAGGTCTTGATTGACATCCAGTGAAATTCTATCTGTATGTAAAGCCATCTCCAGTAGGGATAGAGGTGATTGGGGCCAGTAGGCCAGTGAGATGGTTGAAGGACAAGATTTATTGTAGCCAGCAAAGTGAACATCCATAATACATCTCCTTAACCCAATTCCCATCACTTGGGTACATTACACATGTGTCCTTATTCTGCTCTGTACCCCAGGGGCCACAGCTGTGCCACATACAAGATCAGTCTCCGGCAAATTCAGTATAGTTTAACAAGCTTCTGCTATAACCTGGACCAGGTGGGCGTCTCAGGTGCAAAGATGAAAAAAAATGATATTGTCCCAGCCCAGTGGTGCATGCCTCTAAGACCAGCTCTCGATGCTGAAGCAGCTGGGTCACAAGTTCAAGCCCAGCTTGGGCATCTTAGCAAGACGCTGTCTCAAAATAAAATAACATAAAAATGGCTAAGTATGCAGCTCCATGGTGGGGTACTCCTGGGTTAAATCCCCAGTACTTCAAAAAAAAGATGTTGTTGCCCTTGGAGAACCCAGGGGGTCTGGTGGGCAATGTTGATCAGAAACAGAAAATAATAATAGAAGGACAAGGTTAGTCAGAGTGCTGATCCCTGACCACTGTGGGAAAGGGCAAGTAGCCGGCAGTGAAGTACGGGGAAGGCTGGAAGAGGCAAGGACATTTCAAGAATGAACAGAAATAAGCCAGAGGAGACAGGATGGAATCCTACTGCTGTGCCAGGCACGGGTCAGTTTACAGCAAATTCAGTACAATGTACTGAGCTTCTCCACAGCCTGGTCCTAAACAGGGAGGGCATTGCAAGCACAAAGATGAAATAATAATAATAATAATTAATTTATCCCACTTCTCTCCAACCCCATGGCTCTATCTCAGTTCAAGTTTCCATCACCGCCTTGAATGAATGTCAACCGTCTCAGTCTCACCCCACTGCCAGTGTTGGAGTGACTTCCTAACCATGTCATTCTGCTGCTTAGAACCTGAGATCCTTGCCCACCCCCATTGCTCTACAGATAGAGCCCCAATTCTCATGCTGCTGTCAGGAGCCAGCTGCCCTGACAACTCTGCTGTGTCATTTCCTGCTCCCCTGCAGAGAGCCACTTTCAGTTCCCCAGGACACTTGCTCTCTCCCTCCAGCCCCATGAGCACATTCTGCCTATAGCACTTCCCCTTCCTTTCTAGACAGCCCTCCTCTTGACCTGGCTGGTTCAGGTTCCTCCTTCAGGTCTCAGTTTACCTATTTCTTCTCTAAGCCCCTCAAGGCTGGGCGAGGGTCCCCGATCACCCTCCCAGTGTTTTCCTGGGACACCCATTCTTGCCACCTTGGTACTTAGCACAATTTATTTTAATTACTTGCTTGTCTGTCTTCTCTGTGAGCTCCCGGGGAACGCAGGGCTCAGCTTCTCTTTCTGTTCAGGGATACCGATCCCTGCAGAGTGCACTCTCAATGGAAGAGAAGGGAATGTGGGTGGGGGATCCTAATTGGCTCCAGAGCAGCACAGCCGCATGCAGGAGTGGGATGAAGAGGAATTGCCAGCAGACTGACCACGGTCTCTGTTTTTCCAGCTCTTATTCCCATTGCAGTGATTGGTGCTCAAGTGCTGAGCAAGGTGGGGGACTCCGTGCTGCTGGTGGCCGAGCATCCTCCTGGCTTCCAAGTCCGAGAGGCCATCTGGAGATCTCTCTGGCCTTCGGAGGAGCTCCTGGCCACGTTTTTCCGGGGCTCCCTGGAGACTCTGTACCACTCCCGCTTCCTGGGCAGAGCCCAGCTGCACAGCAACCTCAGCCTGGAGCTCGGGCCCCTGCAGTCTAGAGACAGTGGCAATTTCTCGGTGCTGATGGTGGACACAGGAGGTCGGGCCTGGACCCAGACCCTGCAGCTCAAGGTGTATGGTGAGTGTATCTGACACTGACTCCCCGACACGCTTCCTCCCACAAAGCACCAGACAGGCATCCTGAGCTGCAGGAGCTGGGGAGAGCTGGGTTCCAGACACCATGTTGCTAACTCAGAGAACAGCTGATGCCCAGCTGTCATATCTAAGAGAACTCTCCAATACTCCCAGGTGAGCTCCTCCCTGGAACGGCTGGGCTTTGCCATCCCACCATCCTGGTCTCAACTCCACCTTTTCTTGGCTCGGCAGGCTTGGACACAACGCTGAGCCTCCCTAACCTGCACCTTTCTTGTCCATAAAGTGAGCATTTTGTGATATCACCATGTATAACGCCCAAAGGGTAAAATGCAACGGCACTTACAAAAGTATCTAGGGCACAGCCTGACCTATCAATTCTAAGATGTCATCATAGATTACAAAACATGCCATTATTTTATGTACCACTAGGAAGGAAAAGAAAGATGTTCTATACTAAACTATGACACAGCGGGGGTTTATTTATAAATTAAATTCAAATTAGACTAAATACAAAGTGTGGAACAATTTTCTTTTCCTTGTTTTTTTGTTTTGTTTGGTTTGGTTTGGTTTTGAGACAGAGTCTTACCAAGTTTCCCAGACTAACTTCTGCCTCAGTCTCTCAAGTCACTAGAATTAAAAGTGTGCACCCTGTGCCCAGTCAGCCCTTCACTTCCTATATATATATATTTTTTTTTTTTCTTTTTTTTCCCATTACTGAGGATTGAACCCACAGGTGCTTAACCACTGAACCACATTCCCGGAGACCTTATTTTTTTTTTTTTTTTAATTTTGAGACAGGGTCTTGCTAACTTGCTGAGGCTGGTCCTCCTTCCTCAGTCTCCCAAATTGCTGGGATTACAGGCATGTGTCACTGCACCCAGCTGTATTTTTTTAAGAGAGAGAGAGAGAGAGAGGAGAGAGAGAGAATTTTTTTAATATTTATTTTTCAGTTTTTGGCGGACACAACATCTTTGTTGGTATGTGGTGCTGAGGATCGAACCCGGGCCGCACGCATGCCAGACGAGGGTGCTACCGCTTGAGCCACATCCTCTGCCCCTGCATTTCTTAAAAAAGGTCTTTTAATCGTTGTAAAACAAATTATTTTGAAAGTTAAGGGTTAGCCAGGTGCAGGGATACACACCTGTAATCCCAGCCACTCTAGAGGCTGACGCAGGAGGAGAACCACTCACAAGTTCCAGGCCAGCCTGAGTAACGAGCAAGACCCCATGTCAAGATTAAAATAAATAAATAAATAAGAGATACAGTGACTTGAAAGGCTGAGGGAAGAGGATTGCAAGTTCAAGACTAGCCTTGGCAAGTTAGTGAGGCCCTAAGCAACTCACTAAGACCGTGTCTCAAAATCAAAAACAAAAACAAAAATGTGCTGGGGATACGATTCAGTGGTTAACTGTCCCTGGGTTCAATCCCCAGGACTGAAAACAAAATAAAAAGAAAAGAAATTGGGATGCAGGGAGGGATTTCAGATTTAAGAATCGACAATAAGAACAGAAGCTGGGAAGAGGGAAACAGAGAGGGAAAGGCCATAAGCAAACTGGGGAGGTGTCTCAAACCGCAGTGATGGCTGTCCGGGGGGTCCTCTGGCGACCCATTCGGGGTGCTGATGTGAAACTGGAGTGATTTTCTGGAGACGCAAAGTTCTGAACCAGGTCGCACATCTTGGGAAGAAAAATACTGGGTGTATTTCAGCGCCCTGGTGACCCCGTTAGCCCAGTGCCTTGGTGCAGTGAATAACTTAGACAACCACGCAGGCCTCCCTGGGACCTTTCCCCCATTCCGAGTCTCAGCTGCCACACATGTGAAATGAGGACATTGAATGCCATAATACATGCAGCACCCACACCACTAAGCTCTCAACTGCCTTGTTCTCAGCATCTGAATTACAGATTTTAAGGAAATTGCTGTTTTATTGCTTCCAAATACATAGCGTGATTAGAACTAATTGCAGGAAGCTGCCAAGCCGCCAGTCCTCAGGAGCTCTGCTTTGACAATAGATAAGAACGATTTGAATTAGCAGATCAGTTACTGGAAATGTCAATGGGTGTTTCTACTGTGCCTGATCGTGTTTGGAAGCAGCTTGTCCTCTTAAGTGGCGTAAATATCCCCCCCTGTAATCTTTGTTTATACTATTAGTGCGCCTAGCAAATCATTTCTTTTTTCATATCACAAATCCCACCAGATCGAGTTGGCATTAATGAGGTTTTACTCTGCTTGACTCTGGAATGCTGTCAGAGACTGAGCCCTCCTGTTGTTTCCAGAGTGCTCTCCCACTGGCCCCACTGCCACAGAGATTCAGGATTGACACGTCAATCTGTATAGGAACGGAGAGCTGCAGCTTGGGACATGGGGACACTGATTTGTTCCATGGCCCGGGTATCAAGCATCTATTTGACAGCACTGGAGAGACAAGGTTATCGAGATAACAAGACAGAGCCCCTGCCTCTGGGCAACTCCTTCACAGCATTTTGCACCCTTGTGATTATTTGCTTAGTTATTCATAATCATTTGTCAGACACTGTCTTCCTCACCAAACTACAAGCGCCACGATCTAGGCATGGGCTCACTTTCTTGCCTGACTTAAAGGCTTATCATCTCCTGTTGGCAGACTGACACATTATAAGACAGGTGCTACAAAAAAAGGGGTGAGGGAGTTATACAACGTGCTTGGAGATGCCTAGCACCAAATCTAAAATATCAGGGGTGGCTTCACAGTCAAGGCATTCAGCAATGCATCCAAGCTGGGCTTTGAAGGATGTGTAGGAGTTTTCTGGGAAGACAAGAACAAAAAGCATATATATACACACACACACACACACACACAGATGATCCATGCGGAAGCAGGAAAGATACGAGACAACGTGGCCTGTTTGGGAGAACTGCAAATTAAATAGTGTGGGTAGAGAGGGGCAGCAGGAGGTACAGCAAAAAGGGTGACATGAATCATTTCATGAAGAGTTTTGGTGACTAAGGAATCGGCTTCTGTTCTGTGGGCAGTGAAATGCCAAACAAGAACGAAAGAGGCCTAGCGAGAGGAGCCACCCATCCCGGCCGGAGCCCAGACCTGGAGCCCCGCCGGCCTCCCTGTAACCTGCTCTTCTGTCCTTGCCCAGATGCGGTACCCAGGCCCACGGTTCAGGTGTTCATTGCTGTAGCAGGGGATGCTCAGCCCCTCAAGACCTGCCAGGCCTTCTTGTCCTGCTGGGCCCCTAACATCAGTGACATCACCTATAGCTGGCGACGGGAGGGGACAGTGGGCTTTGGTGTTGAGCCACAGAGCCTCTTCACAGACGGACAGGTGCTGAGTGTTTCTCTGGGACTAGGAGACAAGGACGTGGCCTATTCCTGCATTGTCTCCAACCCTGTGAGCTGGGACTTGGCCACAGTCACCCCCTGGGAGAGCTGCCATCACGAAGCAGGTAAGTCACGGGCCTGTGGTCAGTGGGGAGGGAATTATAAAGCATAGAGCCCACCTCTGACCCTACCCCTCCGTGTCCAGCACCAGGGAACGCCTTCTACAAGGATATGCTACTGGTGGTGGTGCCCATCTCGCTGCTTCTGTTCCTCGTTGGTCTCTTCTTCGCGTGGCACTGTGGCCTCTGCTCAGGTAGGGGTCCTGCTGGTGCAGGAGACGGGTGGAGGAGGTGGACCTACTGGGGAGGAGGGTGAAGGCTGGACCTCCCTCTACTTAGGCTTCAAATGACCCGACCCCCACCTCTCCTGCCTTATTTCTTGGTCCTCTCTGCTTCATACTTTGGTCTCCAACCACATTGAGCTACTCAAAGTGTCTTCTTGATTTCGTTTTTGGTACCAGGGATTGAACCCAGGGGTCCTCAACCGCTGAGCCACATCCCCAGCCTTTTATTTCCTGTGTTGAGACAGGGTCTGGCTCATTTGCTTAGGGTCTTACTAAGTTGCTGAGGCTGGCATTGAACGTGCAACCCCTCTGGCCTCAGCCTCCCCGAACTGCTGGGATTACAGGCATGTGCCACTCCCCTTGTCCATTTGACTAATTCCCACTCAGGGAGGACTTCCCTGACCACAACCCTTCAGCCCCACCATCAGGTTGGCTAATGTCCTTTCTTTAATCTCCAGCGATTACCCCCAACTACATAACTAATTATACTTGTACCCGCAACACACTGAATTCTGAGCCCTTTAAAGGCAAAGCCTGGGGTCACCGACGCGGCCTGTCCGGTGCTTCCTAGAACACAAGCAGTATTGGTGAATATTTGTCAAGGGAAAGTGTGGATGGATCTCAACCCCCTTCTGAAAGAAGACTCTCCCTGGCCAGGAGCTGATAAGGCCACCTTCTTCAGAAAAGGAAGGAATAGAAAATTCTTGAGATCAGAAAAGTTTCTGGGCTCTATATCCAACTTAGCCTCTGCCTCTGGCCAGGATGCCCTATCCTTGAAAGAACTAGCAAGACTCACCTGGCTTCCTGGCCATTTCCATGCCAGGTGGCCTGAGCTTCCTGGTCACAGGGTCAGCAAAGAAGGAGCACAGAGACCTCATTATGGTGGGTGTGTTCTGGAGCGCCAGAGTGTTGGCCCACGCACTGAGAGCAGGAGCGGGTGTATGTGACTGATTCCTGCTTGTCCTTCCCCTGGGGTCAGGAAAGGCAGGGGGAACAGCTGAGGCTGCACTCTGCCTGCAGGCCCTGTCTACGAGGGGGAGGGTCTAGCCCTGGCCCTTTGCCCCCAAGAGGCCTAAGGATTTATGGAAAGATGGTTGAAATCAAGAGAAGAGCAACTTCGTCTCCCCCAATACTGAGTATTGAACTGGGGAGCACTCTACCACTCTGCTACACCCCCGGCCATTGGAAATTCTACTTTGAAATAGGGTCTCACTAAGTTGCCGAGACAGGCCTTGAATTTGCAATCCTCCTGCCTCAGCTTCCTGAGCTGCTGGGATTATAGGCATATACCACCACACCTAGCAAGAGCAATTTTTTAAAAAAACAGCTTTATTGAGATATAATTCACACAGTGCACAACTCACTGGCTTTTAGTCTATCCACAGAGTTGTACAGTTATCACTACACCAATTTTAGAACATTTCCACTACCCCAAAAAGAAACCCATGACCCAGATTCCCCCATTCCTCCCACAGCCCCAAGCAACCACTAATCTACTTTCTGTCTCTCTGTATTTTTCTATTCTGGATATTTCATATAAATGGAATCACATGATGTGGTCCTCTGGGACTGGTTTCTTCACTTAGCCTAATCTTTCAAGGTTCAGAAAAGAGCAACTTTGGTTTTGACAAGGGATAAAGAGGACCCAACCACCTGGGATAGTGGAGAGACTCCACACAGGGAGTTTGGAGGCTGGTCCTAGGTCTGCCATGTGGCCTCTGGTCATTTAACCAGGTCTGTCCATCACAGCCCTAACTTCCCATGGCTTCTACAGCTAAATGTATGGCACAGGTGCACATCAAGATTAGACATTAAGAAGAACGTCCTGTACCTTAAGAGTTTCCTTTTCCATCATTATGGAAGCTAAGGAGAGATGTCCCTTTGCCCAAGGTGACCTTGTGACAGAAAACAGAATTCGGAGCCCTGGGGACCAGACCAAGTATGCCAGATTCTAAACATGAAAGGGGTAACTTTCTTTCTGATCTCCTCACCAGGGAAAAAGAAGAGGGACGCCTGTACTGACCGAGTGGCTGCAGAGACAGAGAACCCCCTTGTGTAGAAAGTGCCAGGAGAGACAATAAAATCTGACCACTGGGTCAAGAGGAAACCCCCTGTCCAAGCACATGATGCTCCCGGGACACAGCTGGTACCTGGAAACCTTCAGGGACCTTCTACCTCCTATGACATTCCTGGCACAGCCTGGGCAGCTGTCACACTGGCAAGACAAAGTATTGGCATAAACTCCGACACCTCTCCCTTCTTTCTCCTCACTGTTCACGTCCTGGCTCTCACTGCTGGACAAGATGGGGCTAACAGGACGTTCCCTCAAGAACACCAGGAGGCCGGGAATGGTGGCTCATGGCTGTGATCCAACCTCTCTGAAGGCTCAGGAGGATTGCAGTGTGAAGCCAGCCTGGGCAGCTTAGCAAGACCCCGACTCAAAAAGAACGATAATGAAAAAGGCTGAGGATGTGGCTTGGTGGTAGAGCACCCCTGGGTTTAGACCCAATACTACCAGAAAACAACGACACGGGATGTTCTCCAAGATCACATGGACACGGATTATTCAAGACACTCACCATTCCCCAAAGAACTGCCTCCAGCTCTGGTCCTGGGCTTTAAAAGACATTAACAGGGGTTGGGGTTGTGGCTCAGCGGTAGAGCGCTCACCTCGCACGTGCAAGGCCCTGGGATCGATCTTCAGCACCACACACAAATAAATAAATGTATAAAATATACATATATAAATGTTTTTTTTAAAAAGGCATTCAGCACTTGAACAGAGAAAATTAATCACACACTACCAGTTCCAGTCTAGCCTCCAGCCCGATACTTATTATGATTAAAAGAACAGGGTCTCAAATAAGTGAAGCTGAGAGGTGGGGGACAGGGATTTCTCTTTCTGCCCTGAAGAACTTTTAGGTTCACGGCCCCTCAAAAATATTTTGCAGTTGAGGTTGACTAAGAACGGTTGACATGCCATATGATTGGAACGAAAGCCATTTGGCTGGTAACATCTTATTAATAGGCATCCTCACCATCTCCATTGACCTTCACCCCTCTTTCAGGATCTAGGGGAGGAGGGGCAGAGTGTGACATTAAGGTTCTCTCCTCACTCTCTAGCACAGTGACTGAAAATATATACTGAAATACTGAAAAGGTATGCTGAATTTGCCTCAACCAATAGGAAGTTCTTGCTCAACTTCCACAAAAGCAGCTCAGCTCAGGGTAAGTCTTTCTGCCTGAGACTTGGAGTGAAGATCCAGGAAAAGCTACAGAGAAGGAAAATTAGGGAGAGGAGGGGTGCTGAGGCTTTTTAGACTCTACCATTTTCCTTTTCAGATGCAAGTGTAGAAAAGCTACCCAAGTTCAAGGAGAGAGACAAAGAGCCCACCATTCAATGGGAGGCTGTCAAGGTCACCTTGACATGTGGAATAGAAGATGTTACTGTGGCCATCTTTGGAAAATACATTCTGCTACTGAGTGGATCTGTCTGGAAAAGCTCTGGGCTGTTTATTGCCACCAGAGAGTGGGAGGAACTTGAGGAGCTAAAGTTACCCCCACCCCCGAATTAGTAGCTAATAAAATTCGCAGTCAACTCCCACCCAAATGTAACTGGATTTTATTCTGAGTCTCACTCAAGTCTTGATAATAGAAAGGAAGGAGGTGTTGAAAGAATAGAGGTAGATTTTGAATATTTACCCAGAGTGGCTGTGGTCTCTCCTCTAGGGTGTCAGTCCTGTCTTAGGACCTTCTCTCTTCTCCCTGATGCCTGGGAAGCACTTGACTTTGCACCAATGATCAGTAAAACATGCTCCCTCCTCCACTCAGCTGTTCCTGGATTTCCTCTTCGTGGATCTTTTTAGAGTCCCCCTGATTTTCACCTGGATTTACCCAATTCCCATCCATTTCCTGCATCCACTTCTCTCCTATTACCTTCCACCTAAGCCCCCTGCACAGTGTACATGCCCCTGGTTCTGCCCTCGCTTGCCACTCAGAGGCATCCCTCATGCCTGATCACTGAATTGCGCAAAATTGGCCTGCCCCTAAAAATGATGTAAGGAAAATAAAATCCCAAGATCTAGCCATGAGCTAAGGTTGGTCCATGGACAAAAAACACACACCACTCCCCCACTTTCCTCCCTTCATCCGCAGAGTCTCAACTCAGATCAGAGCACTTGTAAATGGGGTGGGGCCCATGGTTCTTCCTCACAAAGTGACTCTTAGCGGCCTTGCCTACACAGTGATTTTGCAGTGAGCTGCACCAGGGCCTCTTTGAACAGATCCACGCTGCTCGAATAAACTAGTGTAGCCACCCCCAGTGACTCACTTGTCAACCAGTAGACTTATTAACCTTCTATTGAAAAAACACAAAGGGTTTCCATGAGACCAATTTTTGTGCTCATAAGCATTGAGATTGATGCTTTAAAAGTGACAGCATCACAAATAGGCATTGAGGGTTCCACACATGCCGGGTGCACTTTGAGCACCCGGGGGAGTCACACTTGGGAACAAAGAAAAGCCTTTGCCTACAGGGAGTTTATTTTCTATACCATATAAATAAATGAGCAAGTCTGTGTTAGACGTTGGCTTGTTCTGTGAAGAAGAATAAGGCAGAGTAAAAGGAGAGGGAATGATATGCTGGGGACAAAAGGTCCATCTCAGATAAGGTGTCACTTTCTGAAAAGGTGACAGAGGCCAGGGAAGTGAAGGAGAGGGCAGAAAGTGCTCCAGACACAACGGAAAATGCAAAGGCCCCAAGTAAGAAAGCTCAGAGTGGCTGGGTTCAAACAAAGCAAAGAGAAGGGACAGAGAGAGCCGGAGGTCACATCCCATGGAACCTTGCGGTCTTCAGAACACCCCTTCCTTCGGGTTTGGGTGGCAGAGAGTCCCACCCCCATCAGTTCAGATGTCAGGCGGCTCCCAGAATGACCTCTTACATCCTTATTTCCATGAGCTGTGTCCAAGGGCACAGGCCTGTAATCCCAGCCGCTCAGAAGGAGGCTGAGGCAGGAGGACCACAAATTCAAGGCCAGCCTGGGCCCCTGAGTGAGAAACTGTCTCAAAATAAATAAATAAACCAACCAACCACAAACAAACAAACAAACAAAAACTGGCTGAGGGAATAGCTCAGTGGTAAAACACTCCTGGGTTTTATCCTCATTACAAAAAAAAAAAAAAATACATCCATGTTTCAAGTAGGCTCATGATCAGACCAGAGCCCTCTCCAAACCTGCTTTTCCACTGTGTGTGTGTGTGTGTGTGTGTGTGTGTGTGTGTGTGTGTGTGTGTGTGTGTGTGTGTGTGTGTGTGTGTGTGTGTGTGTGTGTGTGTGTGGCGGGGGTGTATTCCTGGAGATTGGACCTTGGGGCTCTAAGCTATATTCCCAGCCTCTTTCACTTTTTATTTTCAAACAGACTCTTGCTAAATTGTTCAGTCTGGCCTCAAACTTGCAATCCTCCTCGCTCAGCCTCTCGAATCTCTGGGATTACAGGCCAGTGAACTGCGCCTGGCTTCTTATTTTTATTTCACGTTATGTGGTCCACCTTTGCACCTGTTCTTCTGTGCCAAGGACAAACACAAGCGCTGATAGGGCAAAGGGGTCATGTGACTTGATAGTGGTGAGAAGGGGGAAGGCCACGGTAAAGGCGTTGCAGAGAACATTTTTTTTTTTCATTAATGAAGATATGAACACTCAGTGCTTTTTTTAAAAAGGAGAGTGGGGAGAGAGAAGGACAACAGCAGCAAACATTAATGCCGTCTCTGGTGAATTTCCGTGTTTGTGAAGAAGTGGAAATACCTGTTCTGTCAATTGGTCCTTGGTTACTTTCTGATCTCTCAGAGAGGCACCTCCTACTTCCAGATTTGACTCCATGGCTCCCTGCACCTGCTCTGCAATGCAACCTGAAGGAACAGCCCATAAAACCACCAAATAGGACGATCCCTAGATCCAGGAAGCACTACAAACCTGGGTCCTGCTCTGGGGAGCACCCTCTCAGGGAACACTGGAAACTTAAGTGTGTGTGATCGTAACGGCGACAAATTTGGAAGTTTTATCATATGAGAAATTATTGAAGAAACTGGTCATGTTTAACCTGGAGCAAAAAATTCAGAGGGGCATGCGTGCTCAAATATTTGAAGAGCTATCACATAAGCCCAGACTGTGTAACTGAGTCCAATGGAGCATATCACTAAGAGGCAGATATTGACTCATATAAATAATACGATATTAAAACTGAAAACTGGAAAGAATCTGTGGTTGTTCAATTCAAGTGGGTTTTTTGTTGTTTTGGGTTTGGGGTTTGGGTTGGTTTTTTTCTTTAAGTATTTGGCACTGAGGGTGCTACACCACTAAGCCATTTCTCCAGCCCTTTTTATTTTTTATTTTTTTATTTTGAGACAGGGTCTTGCTAACTTTCCCAATACAATGGTCTTGAACTTGTGATCTTCCTGCCTCAACCTCCCAAATCTCTGGGATTAAAGGTATGTGCCACCAAAAAAAAAAGCTAAGTTGTTTGTTTGTTTGCTTTCATTTCTTAGGTAGAAAACTGAGGCCCAAAGAGATTGCCACACCCCTAAAATTACATAATTAGTCAGTGGGAAAAGTCAGAATTAGCTTTAGTTTATCTCAATCAATCCAGCCTCTCACACTGTACCCCACTACCAGAGAAGAACTTTCTAGCAGATGAAGTCATCCAAATATACAATTTCAATGAATGTTATACAATTTCAATGAATGTACCTAATTCATTCAGCTGTTTCATAAACATGCTTAAGGAAAAACCATCTCAGAGCAAGATCCTAGACTGAAGACTTTTCAAATCAGGTAGGAAGTTGCATTAGGAATGACAAATACCCAGCACATACATCCAGACTTTGGCTTTTCCAGGGCTATGTCAGATGCAACTAATTAATTATGACACACTTTTCCCACTGAGCCCAGATGTAACCCTCAAGTTACCCCTACCAACCAATTAAAGTTAGGAATCGAGATGAAAGCTATTAGCCATTCCTGCCCCAGACAATTCTTCAGATCCTTCCATTATTAAGAATGAATTATAAATTAAAGAATGAATGAACAGCCGGGCACTCGGGTACACACCTTTAATCCCAGCCACTCAGGAGACAGAGGCAAGAGGATCACAAGTTCAAGGCCAGCCTGGGAAATTTAGGGAGATCCTCTTTCAAAATAGAATAATAAAAACGGTTGGAGATGTAGCTCAGTGGTCAAGCGCCCCTTGGTTTCAACCCCCAGTACCAGAAGAAGGAGAAGGAGAATAAGAGTGAGGAAACATTTGTATCAGTCAAGCTTCTTTAACAGAAATCAACTCTAGTCTTAACTAAAATAAATAAAGAATTCACTAGAAAGTTGTGGTAGCTCAGAGGCCCAAAGAAAGTGCTGACCAATCAGGTCACAGAAAGGACAAAGCCAGAGACCTTGGGGATGCAGACCCTGGGGCCTAAGTGGAAGTAGTTTTTTTTTTTTTCAGTTTTCTGTTCCCTGGCTACTCAGAGAAGATTCAGTTGCCAACAGTGAAGCTCAACTGGACTAGCTGGGACCACGGACTCTTTTTTGTTTTTGCAGGGCGGGGGCGAGGGGTGGGGAATAGGGTAGAATTGTAGGACATCTGGTCAGAGGCAGCCGTTGGTTCAACAAAATAAAATACCAAGCCTAGCAGGCGGTGTGTGCCTGTGATCCCAGCTACTTGGGAGGCTGAATGAAGCAGGAGGACTGTAAGTTCAAGGCCAGCCTGGGCAACTTAGGGGGACCCTGTCTCAAAATAAAATTTAAAAGTGATTGGGGTTGTAGCATAGAGGTAGAGGTCCTCTGGGTTTAATTCCAGTACCCTCCAAAAATAAAATAATGAAATATAAAAAAAAAA